TAGATGTTATGAAACTTCAGGAGGATTTAAACAAACTCTATTCTTCGTCAGAAAAGTGGCAGATGCGTTCAATGTAGATAAATTGCAAGGTTCTGAAGCTTGGGATGTGCCACATAACCCTGTAACTTATAGTTATTAGATGTTAGAACTTAGCATACAGATTGCCGAAAAGGACTTGGGTTAAGAAAGTGAGCCCAGGCAATTGAAAACCAGGGACAGCAATGCCTAAGCTACGTAATAAGGCAAATAGATTACTGGGGATTTATATCAAGAAGTGTAAGAACAGGGTCCAGAGGTCATACTGCAGGCTTTTATACATAATTAACAAGACTCACCTAGGATTATGCAGCTCAGTTTCGGTCTCATATTACAGGAATTGGATTCAAACCTAGAGTTAGTTAGAAAAAACATTCAGTCAAAAAGGGATGATAAATTAATACATGCATTAGAAGATCCTACCTTATGAAGAAATTGAAGATTAAACTTACATCACTTGTAGAAAGGAATGAGGGGAGGAGACCTGATCGAATGTGTATAATAGGAAGATTAGGTTAATCAATAAAGGGAATAATAAGGTCTTGAGGATTCTGAAGAGCTTTGAACCCATAGCATGGTTTAAAATTAGCAGCTCAGATTTGGTTCCATATTACGAAATGGACATAGGAAAGTATTGGTTTGAAATAGGGTAGTTGAGTGGACTACAGTCTACACTAGTTGTTTTTATGAGAGATGGAGACTTATGGTACATTTCAAATTAGGTTGAGAAAGAATGAGGGGAGACTGATCGAAGTTAGATTTGAGTGGACTTTCAAGAGTTAATATAAGTCTTGGGTGGCATTCCGAAAATTGGAGACTGGCAGTAATGTTTAATTTAAGTTTGAATTGTAAAGGACCATAGCATAAGTATGGTGCAAACGGGCTCTGCAGTTGTTGACACTACCTTATCTGGTATGTGAGGCGAGGATGGTGTTTCAAATAGGTGAGAGTACATGAGTGGGAGAGTGGTGGTGTGTGGTGGGCTTACAGAGTTGAGTTTCTGGTGGTGAATTGGTGGCAAATGTGTTAGTGGATGAATTGTAAGGATGCAGGATGGTGGTGTAGTGGTGCGTTCTAGTGAGTGGTTGGTGTGGTGGTGGTGCAGGAGTGGTGAGTGATGGGGTGGTGAGGTGGTGGTGGTGGTAAAGTGGTGGTGGTGGGTGTGGTGGTTGTGGTGGTGCAGAGTGGTGGTGGTGTGGTGGTGGTGCAGGATGGTGGTGGTGTGGTGGTGGTGCAGGACTGGTGGTTGTGGGTGGTGGGAGTGGTGGTGGGTGGTGGGGGCAGGAGTGGTGGTGGTGTGGTGGTGGGCAGGATGGTGGTGGTGTGTGGTGGTGCAGGACTGGTGGTTTGGTGTGGTGGTGTGGCAGGACTGGTGTTTGTGAGTGTGGTGGTGGGGTGGTGGTGGTGCAGGACTGGTGGTGTGGTGTGGTGGTGGTGCAGGACTGGTGGTGGTGGTGTGGTGCAGGATGGTGGTGGTGTGTGGTGGTGGGCAGGACTGGTGGTGGTGTGGTGGTGCAGGAGGGGTGTGTGTGGTGCAGAGGGTGGTGGTGGTGTGGTGGTGTGCAGGAGTGGTGGTGGTGGTGTGGTGGTGCAGGAGTGGTGGTGGTGGTGTGGTGGTGCAGGAGTGGTGGTGGTGGTGTGGTGGTGCAGGAGTGGTGGTGGTGGTGTGGTGGTGCAGGAGTGGTGGTGGTGTGTGGTGGTGCAGGAGTGGTGGTGGTGGGGGTGGTGCAGGAGTGGTGGTGGTGGTGTGGTGGTGCAGGAGTGGTGGTGGTGGTGTGGTGGTGCAGGAGTGGTGGTGGTGGTGTGGTGGTGCAGGAGTGGTGGTGGTGGTGTGGTGGTGCAGGAGTGGTGGTGGTGGTGTGGTGGTGCAGGATGGTGGTTGGTGTGGTGGTGCAGGAGTGGTGGTGGTGGTGTGGTGGTGCAGGTAGTGGTGGTGTGGGGGTGGTGGTGCAGGAGTGGTGGTGTGGTTGGTGCAGGAGTGGTGGTGGTGGTGGGTGGTGCAGGAGTGGTGTGGTGGTGGGTTGCAGGAGTGTGGTGGTGGTGGTGAGTGGTGGTGGTGGTGCAGGAGGGTGGTGGTGGTGCAGGAGTGGTGGTGGTGGTGTGGTGGTGCAGGAGTGTGGTGGTGCAGGAGTGGTGGTGGTGGGGGTGGTGGTGCAGGATGGTGGTGCGGGAGTGGTGGTGGTGGTGTGTGGTGCAGGAGGTGGGGTGGTGGTGGGAGTGGTGGTGGGGAGTGGTGGTGCAGGAGTGGTGGTGGTGGTGTGGTGGTGATGTGCAGGAGTGGTGGTGGTGGTGTGGTGGTGCAGGAGTGTGGTGGGTGGTTGGTGTGGTGGTGGTCAGGATGTGGTGTGGTGGTGGTGGTGGTGGTGCAGGAGTGGTGGTGGTGGTGGGGGTGGTGGTGCAGGAGTGGTGGTGGTGGTGGTGGTGGTGTGTGCAGGAGTGGTGGTGGTGGTGTGGTGGTGCAGGAGTGGTGGTGGATGGTGTGGTGGTGGTGCAGGAGTGGTGGTGGTGGTGTGGTGGAGTGGGGCAGGAGTGGTGGTGGTGGTGTGGTGGTGCAGGTGGTGGTGGTGGGTGTGGTGGTGCAGGAGTGGGGGTGGTGGTTGGTGGCAGGAGTGGTGGTGGTGTGGTGGTGCAAGGAGTGGTGTGGTGGTGGTGGCAAGGAGTGTGGTGGGTGGTGGTGCAGGAGTGGTGTGGTGGTGGTGGTGCAGGAGTGGTGGGTGGGTGGTTGCAGGAGGGGTGGTGTGGGTGGTGCAGGAGTGGTGGTGGTGCAGGGTGGTGGTGGTGGTGCAGGAGTGGTGCAGGAGTGGTGGTGGTGGTGCAGGAGTGGTGCAGGAGTGGTGGTGGTGGTGGGAGTGGTGCAGGAGTGGTGGTGGTGGTGCAGGAGTGGTGCAGGAGTGGTGGTGGTGGTTGGGGGCAGGAGTGGTGGAGTGGTGGTTGGTGGTGCAGGAGTGGTGGGGTGGTGGTGGTGGTGCAGGAGTGGTGCATGGAGTGGTGGTGGTGGTGCAGGAGTGGTGTGGTGGTGGTGCAGGAGTGGTGGTGTGGGTGGTGCAGGAGTGGTGTGGTGGTGGTTGGCAGGAGTGGTGTGGGTGGTGGTGCAGGAGTGGTGTGGTGGTGGTGCAGGAGTGGTGTGGTGGTGGTGGCAGGAGTGGTGGTTGGGGGTGGTGGTGCAGGAGTGGTGGTGGTGGTGCAGGAGTGGTGTGTGGTGGTGCAGGAGTGGTGGTGGTGGTTGCAGGAGGTGGTGGTGTGGTGGTGCAGGAGTGGGTGGGGTGGTGCGGTGGTGGTGCAGGAGTGGTGGTGGTGGTGCAGGTTGGTGGGTGCAGGAGTGGTGGTGGTGGTGCAGGGTGGTGTGTGCAGGTGGAAGTGGGTGGTGGTGGTGCAGGTTGGTGGGTGCAGGAGTGGTGGTGGTGGGTGCAGGTGGTGGTGCAGGAGTGGTGGTGGTGGTGCAGGAGTGGTGGTGGTGGTGCAGGTGGTGGTGCAGGAGTGGTGGTGGTGGTGGTGGGTGGCAGGCAGGAGTGGTGTGGTTGGTGCAGGAGTGGTGGTGGTGCAGGAGGTGGTGGTGGTGCAGGAGTGGTGGTGGTGCAGGATGGTGGTGGTGGTGCAGGTGTGGTGGTGGTGCAGGAGGGGTTTGGGTGGTGCAGGAGTGGTGGTGGTGCAGGAGTGGTGGGGTGGTGCAGGAGTGGTGTGGTGGTGGTGGTGGTGGTGCAGGAGTGGTGGTGGTGGTGGTGGTGCAGGAGTGGTGGTGGTGGTGGTGGTGGTGGTGCAGGAGTGGTGGTGGTGTGGTGGTGGTGGTGCAGGAGTGGTTGGTGGTGGTGGTGCAGGAGTGGTGGTGGTGGTGGTGGTGTGCAGGAGTGGTGGTGGTGGTGGTGGTGCAGGAGTGGTGGTGGTGGTGGTGGTGGTGCAGGAGTGGTGGTGGTGGTGGTGGTGGTGCAGGAGTGGTGGTGGTGGTGGTGGTGCAGGAGTGGGGGTTTGGTGGGCAGGAGTGGTGGTGGTGGCAGGAGTGGTGGTGGTGTGCAGGAGTGGTGGTGGTGCAGGAGTGGTGGTGGTGGTCAGGAGTGTGGTGGTGGGGTGTGGTGCAGGAGTGGTGGTGGGGGTCAGGAGTGGTGGTGGTGGTGCAGGAAGTTGGTGGTGGTGCAGGAGTGGTGGTTGTGGTGGTGGTGCAGGAGTGGTGGTGGTGGTGGTGGTGCAGGAGTGGTGGTGCAGGAGTGGTGGTGGTGGTGTGGTGGTGCAGGAGTGGTGGTGGTGGTGGTGGTGCAGGAGTGGTGTGGGGTGGTGGTGCAGGAGTGGTGGTGGTGGTGGTGGTGCAGGAGTGGTGGTGGTGGTGGTGGTGCAGGAGTGGTGGTGGTGTGGTGGTGCAGGAGTGGTGGTGGTGGTGGTGGTGCAGGAGTTGGTGGTGGGTGGTGCAGGAGTGGTGGTGGGTTGGTGCAGGAGTGGTGGTGGTGGTGCAATGGGGTGGTGGTGGTGGTGGTGGTTGGGGGGGCAGGAGTGGTGGTGGTGGTGGTGGTGTGCAGGATGTGGTGGTGGTGGATGTGGTGGTGCAGGAGTTGGTGGGGTGGTGAGGGTTGGTGGTTGGGGGGGTGTGCAGGAGTGGTGGTGGTGGTGGTGGTGGTGGTGGTGCAGGAGTTGTGGTGGTGGTGGTGGTGGTGCAGGAGTGGTGGTGAAGGAGTGGCGGTGCATGACTGGCTGGAGTTTCCGGCAGCCGGCATCATCAACCACAACCTCACAATATTACATCATCTTACTCATTAATATACACTACATCCATCTCCAATATTCATTATAACAGTACTTAACATTGTGGTGTAAGAGCTACATAGAACAAAGTATATGTTAGTGTAGCGGCGGCGGTGGTGGTGGTGGTGGGGGGGGGGGGTGTTGGCGTCGGTGATGGAGCACCCACCAACACTAGCCGGCCCACGCCACCCGTCATATTACAATATAAATGTAGAGTAAGTGAGTTAATGGCTCACCTTTGGGGAAGACACAGACGAAGACATAATTCCATCCTTCATCAGGTGCATGAAGGCGACCATCGACGAGTCTAACACCTCGCATACCACGACTCTCAGCATGGCGGTACTTTAGACCACAAGCACCGGGGAACTGCGCCACCAGTGTAGACAACAATAATGTGCCGTCATCCTCAGTAGGGATCTCGATGGGCTCATCATTCTCTTCTTCACACACTTGTATGTAACAACTCATGTTGACCATGCAGACAGCAACACTCACGGAGACACAACGCACCAACTGCACCACTGATGACGCCAACAATCATCGACTCTCTTCGGTTATTTTCGTTCTGTGACGTCACTGGCATTCGGCTTCCACAAACTTACACTATAGTTCTCTTTTATAATGAATATCTTTCTTTTATCAACCACATGATCGCATTTTTATATAATAGAATTTTAGATTCTTACTACTTATTTGTATATAAATATTGATGATGTCCTTTCAATTAGATATAAAATAATTATTCTTAATATTACTTTTTTCTATGTTAATAAATTATTTTGCCCTACCTACCTTAACGAAGAATAGTATGTTTTTACTGTGAATGCTTTTACTATTATATTTAAGGTTTTTAAGACTTAAAATAAGGCACAAACTAATATTGTATATCAAGTCTGGCCTACGTGACCAAACTAGATAGCTGTTTCCCAACACACTTCCTGGCATTAACTTCGTACAATGACAATTTGCTCCCTCTACTTTCTACTTAAATATTATGAATGAAATTATGAAAAAAAAAGAAAAAGAGGGAAAATTAAATATATATGAAGAGAGAAACAACCAACCCCAAGACTTGTAATGTAAATATAATATGAAGTGTTAGCCAGGATAAACGAAGGCGGTGTACTAGGTGGTGCCCTGGTGGACACACTTTACAAATGACTGTAACTCTTACTTACTGTGCTCGTCCTCACACGCTCCTCCTCCTTACTTATTCAAGGCCAGTAACACATAATTTCTTGGGGATCTTTAATGTATTGCGAAAATAGTATTGGTCATAGTTGTTGTTAGGTCATAGTGATGGTAAGTGCCGGGGTATGAGGGCAAATTTTTATTTAAGGTTTTGTACATATAAATACACGTATGCTGCTATGTGTGATAATTTATATAACTATTTGTCTACTTGTACCTGAATAAACTTGCATAATATTTTTTTTACTATGGTCTTGATAACATAAGTATTAAAAGTACTGGAAAAGTACACTAGAGATATAATGTAAGTGATGTGGGTAGACTTGTGGGGTCACAACTAGTGTACAACAAAATACAAATATTTATTTTAAAATTACTGTATAAAATATAGAGTACTCTGAAGGCCCAGGAGATGCATTTCGGGCGAAAAATACTCTAGTTCAAATTAAGATTTATTTGTATATTTGTGGAATTAATACATGGTATTAATGATCTTATCAATATAAAATATACAAAAATTGTATTAAAACGCCATTGGAAACAAGTCACTCTTGACTTTTATGGTCATCCTGGGTAATTTGTACTATGCAGAATAATTGTGCTTATGTGTACCTGTGCCTAAATAAACTTAATACAGGACAATATGATGCAGTATAAATTCAATGAAAATTTTTATAGCTGACATGGACATAGACAAAACTGTAAGATAATTAGTACAAGTCATATCTAAAAGGGAAGTGAAGCATTACTTAACACTTTCAGGGTCGAGAGGCCCTGTCCTAAACTGTTCTCAGGGTTGAAATTTTTTCAGAATTTTTTTTTCATGTGAAATGATAGAGAATCTTTTCCCGGTCATAATGACACCAAAATTATGAAATTTGATGGAAAACTTATGGAATTATGCTCTCGCGGCTGTATAGCCTTTGTGGCTTAGCGCTTCTTTTTTATTATAATAATAATATGCTCTCGCGAAGTTAGCGATCTCGACGATGTTTACGCATCGGCGATTTCGCCCACTTTGAGCCCTATTTTCGGCCAATTCCACTGTACTAGTCGACAAAAATCATAACTATTTCACTAGAACTCCATTTTATCTATCGAATGAGTACAAGAAACCACCCATTTACCGATTTAACCTTCCAATAGTGGTCAGAAATTAGCAATTTTGCCAATTTCACACAAATTTCAAAAGATGCCAATTTCTAAATAGGGTCCAGAATAAATAAGAAAGACATTCCTGGCACTAAAATAACATTTCCTCTGTTCATTAGTCACTTCCTCAGGCGCCTATTACATTTCTTTTGCTTTCCACTTTGAATTTTTATTCTCACAAAAAATAGAAGATTTACTGTTATGCAGACTACTACAGTAGTGTAAAAATGGTATAAATAATATCAGCGCACTTGTGAAAGAATATTAGACTCGCCAGTTGACATGTATTGGACGCTTGGCATGATTTCTTTACTTTTGAACTTTGGCAAAAATCGAACATTTCTGCTACTTTGAGCTCAATTTCAAGGTACTTTTCATTGTGAAACCAATCAAAATCATCTCAGTTTCTGTAATATGTCTTCCATTCTAGGAAATCTAGAAATACAACCATAAATACTATACAAAAATACAGTGCAAAGTCGCTGTTTTATCCAAAAACACGGTCATTTTTTTTTTCCTCATGCACTGTGTGCTGCAGAATTTTTTTTATACTGCACACACTGACCACATACACCCATTCTTTCGTATGTAGTCCTTCCAGCTTTCTCTCGCTAGATCTGAAGGTGCTAGAATTTAGGCGTTCTAGTACGTCAATAACCCTGGTGCGTAAGCCGTACTAGTACGTCGGACCCCCTGAAAGGGCTAAATGAGGAAAGTTCATTTTATATACGAGTAAATTGAGTTATGAGCTAGCTCTTGGAACAAATTAAACTCGTAAGTCAAGATTCCACTGTATATATTTATACATCATAGGGACATTAACATGGGCCCCTACTGTGACCACAAATGTAAGCTTTTATTCATATTCATATATTTTATTTGGACATGATACATAGTTGTACAAGGAATTATAGTAGTTGGGTGCACATACCAAAAGCCCCTTGTATGCAGAGCATTATGGGCAGGCTTAAAATTAACTTAAAATTAACAAGCAATGAAAGGTTGTGTTAAAAATTACAGTAAACAATTTACAATATGAATTACAGTTTAGTATTTGAAACTATGAAATTTGAGCACATCAATACTGAATTTGTCATATTACAATGTATAACAAAAGATGATCAGTTTGCTATATGTTGTCTTGAAGTTTTAAGACGTAAGTAATTGGGAGAATTATTGATAATGTAAAATACTGTGTTGATTATTTAGTCCTGGGCAAATAAGTGGTTCTTTAGAAGAGTCTTAAATTGATTTTCAGGCCTGGTTACTTTAGTATGTTCTGGTAATGAATTCCAGATTTTGGGGCCCTTTATGTGCATAGAGTTTTTACAGTGTGATACGGACACGGGGTACATCAAAATGAGATCTGTGTCTTGTGTTGTGGTCGTGTCTCCTATTAAGGTTGGTAAGGGAAAGTTTGAATGGAGGGTTTATGTTTACATGTATTGTTCTATGTATGCAGTAGGCACATGAATAAGTGTGGATGTTCTTTATGGTGAGCAAATTTAGACTACTGAATAGAGGTGGAGTATGCTGTTGTGAGTGGTGATTTAATGTTGTTGATCCCCATGCACAAATTCCATAAGTGAGATAAGGGTAGATGAGTGAGTGATACAGTGCAAGGAGAGCTGATTGTGGAACATAGTACCGTATCTTTGATAGTATCCCTACTGTCTTAGAGATTTTCTTGGAAATTTGTTGTATATGTGTTTGGAATTTGAGGCTACTGTCTAGGTGGATTCCTAGGAATTTTCCCTCTGTGAGTCTTGTGATGGGTGATCCATTTAGTGTTATGTTAAGTGGAACATTTGCAGCTCTGGTTTGAAACTGAATGAAATAGGTTTTGTCAGTATTTAGGGTAAGTTTATTCGTCGTCATCCAGGTAGATATTTTCTGCAGTTCAGCATTGACAGTGTTGGCAAGTATGACTGGGTTTGGGTGTGAGAAGACGTATGTAGTGTCATCTGCAAATAATATGGGTTTGAGTAGCTGTGATGCATTTGGTAGGTCATTGATGTAGATGAGAGAGTGGTGGTCCTAGGACACTTCCCTGTGGGACTCCTACTGTGATTGGTTGTGTGGAAGAGTTTGCACCATTTATGTACACGTATTGGCTTCTGTTACTAAGGTATGACTAGGTAGTTAAGGAAATGGCCTCTTATACCATAGTGTGTTAATTTAGTGTGCAGCAATTCATGGTCGACTCTGTCAAAAGCTTTACGTAAGTCAATGAAAATTCCCAGTGGGACTTCTTTCTTCTCAAGTGCGGTATATATTAGCTCCAGCATGTGTATAATAGCATCATTTGTGCTTTTATTATTCCTGAATCCAAACTGACTGGGATTTAGTGTGTTGTATGAGATGAGGTAGGAATAGGTTTGTGTATGAATTAATTTTTCAAAGATTTTAGAGAGTAGTGGTAAGTTAGAAATTGGTCTATAGTTATTCAAGTCGGCTTGATCACCTTCTTTGTGGATCGGGGTAACCTTGCTATTTTGAGGACTGCCAGGAAGGTGGACGATTCAATGGATTTGTTAAAGAGTGTTGCAATAATTAGTGACAGTACTTGCGAAGCTTTTTCGTACATAAAAGCAGGCAAGTTGTTTATATCGCCTGCCTTGTTCTTAACCCTTTGACTGTTTCGGTCATGTATATACATCTTATGAGCCACTGTGTTTGACGTATATATACTAATAAATTCTAGCGGCTTCAGATCAAGGAGAGAGCTGGTAGGCCCACATGTGAGAGAATGGGTCTGTGTGGTCATTGTGCACCTGTCAGCATAGTTGCTGATCCCTTACATGTGTTGTATAGCTTATCTGAGTATCATAGTACCATCCATATGTTTTATATACTATATGATACCTTACTAGGCCTAGTGACTGTATGACATCACGGGATGTGGCATGAGTGAGTGGAAGGCGCTACCTCACTCTCAGTCCATGCATAGGTCTACCAGGCAACACATGGCAGGTTGGGCTCCCCTTTCTCACATTCTGCAATATATTGTTACCATCCAACAAGTGTGTATATCTTCAACCCTCGTTATCTCCTTTCGAACCCCACGACAAATGGTGACAGCGGTGTGGGCGTAAAATTGATAATTACGCCGATGCACGGAGATAAATTCTCTCAGCCGACGACGGGCATTTTGTGTAGCCAGTAGGCCGACCTAGCCAAGCAGCTACCCCAAGCAAGCATTGACCAGCCTATTGCTTCCTACTTCTGGTCAGTCTCTGTGTATTAGCATTTTATTTGCTTATTTGCATTACTTCCAAGGGGTTGACCCGGGTTTGCAAAGTAAGCCAAGCCACCAAGCCAGTCTGGGGGGGGGGGAGTCCAGCCTAACCTTACACCATCCAGCCTTGCCTGCCAAGCCAGCTTTCCACCCCTGCTGTGCTCATCGTTACAAGTTATCAAGCCAGTCTGTGTGAAGGGTTAAGCCAAGCCAGCCAGCAACTAACCCAAGTGTCTTAACCCAGTACTCAAGCAAGCCACGTGGGTACAGTCTTCTTCACCGTTTTGTGCTTCTCGTTCTAGCTATTCTGAGTGCTTTATCATCCCTGTGGTGTTGTGGTATTTTGTGGATTTGTGTTTAAGCCAGTCCGTCTTAGAATATCTTCGTGCCTAGTGCGGGTGTCCCCAGTGTGGCTTACGCCGTTCATCCCATAGGCCCAGTCACCACGCAGTGTCTCACCACAGCGCTGCCTCAACCACCCACCTCACCCACTACCACTGTTTTTGTACCCTTATTACGGGTTCTAGCATCATATTTTTATGGACCACATAGGGGGTCAAGAGCCAAGTGTGTTCCTTCGTCAGATGCGCCATCGTAAAAGCCTCCTGTGTGAGTTCATCGTTGATTTAAGCGCAAAT